GTAAGCCGTGTGTTGTGACTTGTAGGTTGTCAGAGATGTTTTGATTCTTCTGTGTGGTATTGGCTTATACCAGATTGTCTAGGTTGTTGTAAATTGTTGAAGTGAGGTTGATTTTGTTGAACTTGTTTAACGGTGTCCTTCTAGCCAGTCAGTCCAGCACGCTGCTGGTTCTTTGTGAGGTTGCATTATCTTTGTCTGTCTGTTTCTCTGTCTGTGCGTGTGTGTATGTGTATTTAGGAAAGCTTTTTCCTTCTGAAAAAAAAAATTTTTTTCAACGAAAATGTTTTGCTTTTCTTATAAAACTAACCATTTAACCATCACCACAACCTGATGATGATGTTACAACTACTGTAGCTTCTGATGCCGCTACTACTGCTACTACTACTTCCACCACCACGCACCACCACTACCACTACTACTACTACTACTACTACTACTACTACTACTACTACTACTACTACTACTACTACTACTACTACTACTACTACTACTACTACTACTACTACTGCTGCTGCTGCTACTACTACTACTGCTGCTGCTGCCATTTATTTACCAATCGTAAAACTCCAAGAGCCTTTAGCTGATCAGTGTATACACGTCAGTGCAGAAGAGGAGAAAGAAAGTATCTGGTGACCTCTACTGATAGAGAAATCTTATAGTTAGCAAGACATCGATCATTACTCACACACACACTCACTGACTCACTCACACATACTCACACTGATGCGCGCGCGCGCACACACACATCCACTTACTCGCACATACTTACACTGGCACACACATACATACACACACACTCTCACATACACACGCTCACATGTACACACACTCACATTTTTACAGTCACACAACTCACACACATACACTCATTCACCTACATGTATACACGCACGCACACATACACGCACTCACACGTACATACACCCACACATACAGACACTCACACATATACGCAGTCATGCCTACTTGCACACTTACACATTCGCACTTACTTATGAGTTCCTGTTGTGAGAAAAACGAGAATAGACCCACAGTCACGCTAATACGTATATCATAAAAGTTGACTAATTAGGGAAGTTTTCGTCGAAGCCGAAGTGCACCTGCATGACATGAGAGGAACCAATAGTCTGCATACAAATAAGCACGAATTTAAAAAAAAAAAAAAAAAAAAAAAACGACGTGCACGCAAAACTCAGTTTCTGCATCAAGACCTTCTTATTCTTTTCTCTATTCCTGGAATGCTTCGCGGCGTCAGGAAAGGAAGAGATCTCTAGAACGGGCCCTTTTGTTCGCTTCGAATATAGTTCTTTTCAGTGTCTCTGATATTTCTGCGGTCCATGCTCTGCGTGGCCGACCGCTTGATCTGTTACCACTGGAACAAGACCAGAAATGAACTAACAACCAGAACTTTCCGCTAGAGTACACACACACACGCACACACACAGACACTCCCCTCTCCCTTCTTCTTCCCCAGGCTGAGATCAATGGCACTCGGCTCTCAGAGGCAACACTTTGTAACTGCTCGACCTGAGGACACACCTCGTAATAACGTCGCACTGACCTAATCGATAAATCAATCGTTTCTGTGACAATCAGTCGATCAAACCAGCTTTATAAAGAGATGACCTGGCAAGATCCCCCACACGGAAGCATAGTGGCTAAACGCTCGCCTACAGGGCTTAGTTCTTTGGTGTAATGCGCACTGAGACATCCCCCCCACCCCCCACCCCCACCCCCACCCACCCCCCCCCCCAGATTGACTGTGGCTGCTTCTTGGACCCAGCCTAAAATTGGTACCAGATAATGCCTAGGAAATTACAAAAGTTCCTAATTGGTGTCTGAGCAGAATAGAGCGAATGAAATGGTATGATAGAATCACTAATGTTGAAATTAGGGAGAACTAGATAAAGTTAAGTGAATTAAGAGGTAATAAGGAGACGCTGGCGTTGGATAGGAGAAGTATAAACAAAAATACCCGAGAACAAAATGTCTTTACACTGGAACTCACAGGGGTATAGAAATAAAGCCAGACCTAACACACACACACACGCACTCACGCACGCACTTACGCACGCACGCGCTCACACGCACGCACACACACATACACACACACACACATACACACACGCACGCACACACATCACAAATAAAGCTAGAGATTGAGATATAAAAATCTATGGAGAATGTGGGGTGAGTGCATGCAATAGCCAGTGATATAACGACTTGTGAGTTTTTTGAGGGCCTTTGCTCCATTGGCGATACAGAAAAAAAAGAACGAATATCCAGGGAAGTAAAGGCGGCCGGCATGATGTTGATTAGTCTGCGTGGAAGAAGGTCCTTTACTTAACCCACTCACGTATCCAGTGTGAAGAGAGAGAGAGAGAGAGAGAGAGAGAGAGAGAGAGAGAGAGAGAGACAGAGAGAGAGAAAGAGACAGAGAGAGAGAGAGAAAGAGAGAGAGACAGAGAGAGAGAGAGAGAGAGAGAGAGAGAGAGAGAGAGAGAGAGAGAGAGAGAGAGAGAGAATTTGTTGTTATTAGTTGTCCGCCTCCAGGATATCAGTCTGTAGGATTCGTATCTCACTGATGAATGAATGGATCCGGTACAAACACCCCATGATTGCTGAGAGTGCCCTGTGGTTACGTCCTGACCTGCAGTCTAGTGTAGGTGGGTTGTGATATATGGTGAGGGATCTTAATCTAAAAGTACACAAAAACAAATAGTTCATGTTACAGGGTAAACGGGTACACATCCACCCGTAAATGTCCGTGATAAATGACGCTAAACAAACTGATATGGTGGAGGACGCTTCCGTATGTTGATAAATTTGCAACTGCTATAAATTACTTGGTCACTGGAACGTTTTGCCTGATAGGACCGTGAAAACTGGGTTTATTGCTGTTTATGTACTTCCTGTGTTTTGCGGTTAGGCAGATGAATTTGGGGAACCAGGCACAGCAAGGAGTCAAAACAAAAATGAGGGTAACAAATAAAACATAACTGAATGAAATAACGGTCAGAGAATTAGGAAATGGCATATGGCGATAGACCTTTGAACAAAAAATACTGATCGAGTAAGTGTAGATAAGTGGAATAAACGGGAAAAAAAAAGACTGGTAGATAAATAACCGAATAAGATCCAACGGTCATTTAAAAAGAAATGAGAATGCGATGTCGCCACAGATTGGGAAATCCACTGCAGTGGCTTTGTGCTTCCGCAGTTTTTCAATCAAGGGTATAGACGTCACTACACCGGGTTCTGTCTGTCTGTCTGTCTGTCTGTCTGTCTGTCTGTCTTTGTCTGTCTGCCTGCCAGCCAGCCAGCCAGCCAGCCTGCCTGTCTGCCAGCCAGCCTGCCTGTCTGCCTGCATGTCTCTTTGTCTCTGTCTGTCTAACGCTGAACGGCCAGACCAGGCATGTCAACATCTCGAGTTACACACGGAACATACGAATTTTAGAAAGGCTAAGATGGTCTGTGGCTTAGGCAGTTGCGAACGCGCTTCGTAATGCCAGGGTGCCGGGTTAGATCCCAGCTGCGGACGGTTTGTCTTGCGTTGGTTTCGACAGTGTTATGATAGCTGACCGTTTAATTAAAAAGTGGCAAACTATTGAACGTAAAATGTCCTTAAAAAACCCACAACAGCCAAAAAATGGTGGGGTTGGTTCTACAACGCCATGTGAAAGATACGCAGCTAACTTGTAGGTGGGGCATGCTAACTAAAGGTTGGGAAACCTTTATATATATAAAACCTGAAAACAATATAACTAGGATGCTTTCACAGATATATATATATATATATATATATATATATATATATATATATATATATATATCTGTGTGTGTGTGCCTTGATTCCTTTGACCCCTGTAGCTATATATATATATATATATATATATATATATATATATATATATATATATATATATATATATATATATATATATCTGTGTGTGTGTGCCTTGATTCCTTTGACCCCTGTAGCTATATATATATATATATATATATATATTATATATATATATATATATATATATATATATATATATATATATATCTGTGTGTGTGTGTGCCTTGATTCCTCTGAATATATATATCTGTGTGTGTGTGCCTTGATTCCTTTGAATATATGTATATATATATATATATATAATATATATATATATATATATATATATATATATATATATATATATATATATATATATATCTGTGTGTGTGTGTGTGCCTAGATTCCTTTGAATATATATATATATATATATATATATATATATATATATATATATATATATATATATATATATATATATATCTGTGTGTGTGTGTGTGTACCTTGATTCATTTGACCCCTGTAGCTTCCTCTGTGAAAGCATCCTAGTAATATTGTTTTCAGGTTTTCTCATCTCTAACTGCACTTCACGCCACCAAAAACCATGAAAAGGACTCTTGTAGTGTTGATGCTATCAGAGGAGACATACCCAAATACTGTCCCTACCTTCGACGAAGTCGTCTACTGGCGAGCCAGTTAGTGACCTGGTCGCCTATGTTACATCACATTGCAGTTACGTAACTTATAATCCAGTCTGGACTTGGGAAATAGGACAGTAACTCATATAGCGTTTCTATGGTTCCTGCAAAACGAGTGTGGCGTCGTACACGTCAATTTTGTTTCTGTGTTTCATTAGCTGCCAGGTGGTCCGCAAAACAGAGTCCCTGGTTTGGTGGGCCGCAAAACAGAGTCCCTGGTTTGGTGGGCCGCAAAACAGAGTCCCTGGTTTGGTGGGCCGCTGGTGTAAAACAGGTTGAGGAACTATGTTCTATGAGCATGAAATTGTTAATTGCGTCCACTAATCTCTAAGCCAACCGCGTTTACTAATCCATCTCCAAGCCGCATATGGTTAACGCTGCGTATCTCAGTAAACACGGGCTTGTAGATGTGAATACACACGTACGATGTGCATTCCTCTTGTGCACACAGGGGAGAACAGAATAGAATCAATGAA